TAAAAATCCATGGTCAAGGTCAATGGATTATAATTGTTGATATCCAAAGGAAGGTATTGTTAAAAGGAATAACGTTAAATAGGAAAGCGCTAGTACCTACTACTCAAAAGTTATATCCAAGGTTAAAGTTTTCCAAAAGTATGTCAAACTCCAAGGTCAAAGGGTCAAAGTTGTTGGTGTCCAAAGGAAGGTCTTGTCACAAGGATGACATTTGTGAAGTATGAAAGCTCTAGCACCAACTGTTCAAAGGTTATGGCCAAGGTTAAAGCTTTCCAACAGTAGGTCGAACTCCAAGGACAAGGTCAAAGGTGTTGGTATCCAAAGAAAGTTCTTGTCACAAGGATTACATATACATGTATGAAGTATGAAAGCCCTAGCACCAACTGTTCAAAAGTTATGACCAAGTTAAAGTTTTTCAAAAGTAGGTAACACTCCTAGGTCAAGGTCAAAGGGTCAAAGTTGTGGTATCCAAAGAAAGGACTTGTCACGAGTAAGACACATATGAAGTACCCGCTAGGTGTCATTTTTGCATCACTTCCGTAAATTACAGCTGGTGCACATCAACAAATTTTACCCTAAATGAGGGTGATTTAATCGAAATATTTACAAATCGGGGGCACATAAAAATTAAATGGAAATATGAAAAGGAAGAAGAAAGTGTAAAAAATTTATTGACGTATGCACATTTCATGTGTTCTTATGCTTTAGATAAATAATCAGGCGAAGTTTAAGCGAGGTGAGGCAGACAACGAGAAAAGAGTTGCAAGCCTTCTCTCTTTTTATGTATCAGTCGAAAACGATATATTTAAAAACAGCTTATAGAAACAAAAGAGTTACATTATTGATAACATATAGTGCATATTAGAATACAAAAATAGGAAAAAGGTGACTCGAACCCAGATTTAAAAAGAAAAAAAAATGGAAAAGGGGGGGGGTGTGTGTCCATACCCCAAGTGCCTTTGTAAGGATGCTGAAGATAAATCACTTTTATGCAAAATTATGTTAAAATATTTACTAATTTTCTCCCTTATTGGCATTTCCGTACGAAATTTATCTTATTTTGACACAGGTTACTGAACTTTTTAAGTATGTATAATTTACGTGGGAACAAGAGAAAATCTGAAAGAAAAAACTTGAACTGAGGACAAATGTACGAAGTACAAGGTTATATATTTTTTCCTTATTCTGTCAATAGAAACAACAGTATAAGTATCAAAACTGTTATGATTCAATGCTTTATTTTAATAAATAAGTAAGGCACTAAAATTATCTTTTAAATTGGAAGAAAGTAAAAGTCATTGTTAGGTTATGGGGGATTGTCGTTAGATTTTATTGATTTAAAACACAAGTTTGGCCCAATATGTCATAAGACTTTATACATGTAAATAATTCCATTGTTTGACTATTAAGACTTAAAGACTATTTCTTTGACATACCTTCATTAGACCAAATTCGATTATTAGATTCAAATTCGAAAACTGTTAAGACTTGTAATAACGTGGATATTAAGTACTTAAAAATAAAACTGCTCAAAAAGTCTTAACTGATCCTACATGGAAGGTCATTTTGCAATATTATTTTTAAATACATATGGTATCTAAAATATATGCAGATTTGATCATTGCAGTGTTAATAATGACGTAGAAATGGTCGTTTTTCAGAAAATTAACTTATTCCCAACATATAAATGGTCACACGCAGCGATCCAACGAATTTATACTACTATATAAATAATTAAGGACTCGATTTTTGTGCTTTAATGCCAGCAAATCGGAAGAAAACTTTTGGTTTTAATGTTGTGAACATTGAATCTATGAAGTTTTCAAACCGGAACTTATTTTTTTTCTCTATTAGGGTTAATCAATTAAAAAACTTTTAAAAATCCGAAATACATATCTATTTTAATTTTGCAATCTCTTCCGCTTTTAGACACCAATTATGACCAAAAACAACGAAGTTGGACCAACGGGGTGGGGGTGTCTCCTCATAAACAATCCGCTCTCTTACATGCATGTATGATCTTACCAAGTGAAGAAGGGCTTCGTGATTTTTTTTTTTTGGGGGGGGGGGGGGAGGGGGGGTTACTTTAATAAAGAATTTAAAAACTTTTGGAGAGGGGGTGAAGAGTGCTTTAACTAAACATGCAGCATTCAAAAGGCATTGTTAATGCGCACATGTTGAAAGATGGAGCTACAGGTTCTTGAAAAAAAAAAGAAGAATTTTCACCAAATTTCATTTACCCTTCAAATTTGTCACTTGCGGCATCCAAAACATAACTGCAACGTCTACGTTTGATATTTCGTGGAAGAACTTATTTTTACTTATCTGGAAATTTGACCATAATGACTGATAGTTTGCATCGTTAATTTCATTGCATGCTTGGTCGGCATCTGAATAAAATCTTCATAGGAAGAAAACCTATTTCAGGATATGAAATTGATCAGTCATCCAGAAATTAAAATATATGTCACGCGCCAAAATATGGCTGAAATATTGCCGACTGGGCGGTTAAGCAATAATCAATCAATATGTTACTTGTGTAACTCTAGTAAAATAAAGAACTAATTGAAATGAATAATTAAATCACAAGGGTTAAAAAGGAATCAATGGCAAATTAGAAAGTACTTTCAAGTACGGTAACCTTTTGAGGCATAAATATCATACCTTTCTGCACGTCCGTCTGGAATTGACGGTCATGCACTCGAAACGTTTTTTCCTACTACTAAAAATAAAGCAGGTGTGCCAATGATAAAATTTTAACCTTCAAAAATTCCAAAACTGTTGTACATCTCCATGACATAACCTTACACTTGAAATTAAATAGGTCTTGTGACAGAAATTCGTTTGAACATATGGACAAGCCACGTTGGTTTACTAAAAGTACATATGTAAGTTGAACAACGTGAGGTCCACTCCTCCCTTTTTAAAATGTACGGCAAAATCTTTGCTTATTGGTCAGCAATGATTGATTGATTTATTGTATGTTGTTTAACGTCCCTCTCGAGAATTTTTCACTCATATGGAGACGCGACCACTTGCCGGTTGAGAGCTGCAAACTTTGTCCTATACTCGGCACTTGCGGCCATTGAGCAGTGAGGGATCTTTTTCGTGCCAGCACCTACTGCGACACGGGACTTCGGTTTATACGGTCTCATCCGAAGGACCGGTCTCCACGTCCCACAGTGGGATTGGTCAGCAATGAAGCACAGAAATGTGTATTTTGTTGTTGCATTTTTGACTCCAACTGCGCTAAAAAAATATCTACCTATAAAAAAGTCCTTTACGTACGGACGTTCCAGCTCGGTAACAATCATGTAATTATTCCTCATTACGCAGGTTCTACCGTTAAATTTGCAACACTTACAGCAAGTGGACAGAATATTTAAGAGATAAGCTGTTAAGATGTCACTTTCATTACTGGATCTTGTTGACGTTTTCAAATTCACATTCCTGAAGTCAATATTAATGCTTCAAAATAATCATTTTAGGGACCGAAACGACAGGAATACCTGTCAAAAGGGTAGATTTGGGGAATAAACTATTTGGAACTATAATGTTATTAAATAACATATTTGTTATTTGCAGCTATCTTTCAAAACAGAACTTATGTGCAGATGAAGTCCCAATCGACTATCTATTCCTTTGACATATTGGTTTTGTTCATTGAAATACTATAGATCGAGATAGATAACTGGTGTTTATGAGTGATACGAGGTCTCGGTATTGTTATATATAATATATACTAATGAAAATATACGCGAGAATAAAGTTTTCGCGAGCAGACCCTCTCGCGCAATTACGCGAAAATAAAGGTCTTGTATATAAAAACCGATTTACAGTAATAAAAAAGATTTGGGTATTATTTTCCTATTTTTCCCCCCAAAAGGATGTATTTTTGATTCTACGGTATTACATGTACTTATTTTTAAATACTAAATATAGCTCCTTCGACAGTTTTTTCCCAGTTCTAATAGAACTTTGCAGATTCTATTAGATTAGATGTAGATTCAATTCAGAAACAAGTGTTCAGCATTTGAATTATAGTTTTACCCCTTTTCTTTCTCTAGAACTTACATGTACTTTGATAAACATCTCATTCATGAATGGAAAAAAGTTATAGGCATATTTTCTTCACACCATTTAAAATCTTAAAAATTAACAAAAATTAAAAATTAGAACTAGTATAAATACTTGCAATAATTTTAACACGGCTTTGAGTTTATTATATATATGTTATTACTTAACCACAGTAGCCGCCAGGCATTGGAATGATCCAAATTAAAAAAAAAAAATTATCAAAGTTATTCACCGTAAAATCTTCTTATTTTTACTTTGACGCCAAAATAAATCTTTATGGGTTTTTTTCTTCTTTTAACTGGGTCCATGATAAAGATAATTATTGTCATATTCGTTTTAAATTTCTGCACATCAATGAAAGTACATATGTACTTTTGCAATGCAATTTAAAGTAAACATCAAAATTTTATAGTTGAAAGATAAATACTGTTAGGTATTATTTAATTGCAACCAGTTGTAGATTTTTTTTTAAGGGGAACCAGACGTATGCATTTTTTTAAAACAGAATCCACAAATCACTGATTGCCGAGTATCTTACATAGAAAAAGATCATCAGTACAATTGTGAACCTGATAAAAATAATTATATACATGTAATCAAAATTCGTGCTTAGGATTTTGCACAGGTGAATGTGGATATCAATTTTATAATTAAGGCGTATTCAAATATATATGACTTGTTAAATTATTTAAAAAAAAACATTAACATGTAATAAAAAATATAAAAACAAGACAAGTGAAATAATTGTACAGTGAATTTTATTAACTTCCTTGCTATATTATTAACCAAATACCTGAAAATCCCAGTGGTCATTTAAAATAACTATTTTCTTATCTTAAATTCAAAGAAAAATGCATTAAAAAAAAAAAAAGTTTAATTTTTAAAGCAATATAAAATATTTTTATTGGAAGGTAAAGACATACCTTTTTGGGAAAACCTGAAAAAATATGCTGCTCTGAATTGTTGGTATTCTTTTCATAAGTATCGTCCATCTCTATAATTTCACATTCTTTTCTGTATTTCTGGTTCAATTGTTTTAACTGTTCCCGAATTTCCTTTAATGTCTTGCTTGGTTGAAACATTGAGGCCATTGCCTATTGATTTTCTTGGCATTCTCTGCCACTGACTATTTCACGATTTTTTTTTCTAGGCGCACCAATTGAGACGGATAATGCTATTTAATAATAAGCATTCCCTAATACAGTCAGCGAATCACAAAGAAGTGTGTTCAGAAAGTAAAAAAATTTGTAGGAGACTAAAAAACCGATATTATTGACACTAGGCCCCGCCCATATATTTTCATATTCATGATTGCTATATTATATCCCTTTCAATATCACTTGATGCGTCTCTGTCTGCCTGTATGTTAAAATCAAGGCTTCTGTTGTTAATTTGCTTAGTATGTTTTTTTTTTTTAAATAATTAAACATAATGGACATAAATTGAAGAAATGTTATAATAACCTTTCTCTAATAGTTGTTATATCACTTTATTGGTATTTATCCAAGTTCTTGAATTAATGGGTGTCGTTTTTCAGCATCTGTAGGTTCGCCAAGAAGAATGTGTTCATTAGAAATTTTAACATTTTTTTCGTATTAGTTTGAATCACTTTGACACGTGCGGTGTGATTTGATGACTTATTCTCTTTCTTTCGGCAATTTTTTTTTTAATTTAGTGCCAAGAGGTTATGAAATGTAAGTCATTTACCTCGTCCATTCATGACCTCCATAATTGAAAAAAAAAACAACATTGCTAACATTTTCACACAGTCATTGAGGTAAAATTCTTTATATTTAAAAAATTATGTCATATTACATAACTTAGACACGATTCAATTAATAATCCAGAAATAAACGGACCAAAATCATCTTGGCAATAAGCTAAGTTGAAGATGCCCTTGGGCCACATCGCTCGCCTAAGTTTCTATTCACTTCCTGACAAATAATTTTGTACTGTAGAAATATGAAACCTCCAAATCTTGTCTACAAAATAAATTACGTAATTTCAACAATTTTTTGTATACAATTTATGAAGGGTTTATGTTATACAACTTTACAAATGTTATTAATCTTCTTGAAGTTGCTGTATAAAATTTTACTACCACTTGCTGCCCAAGCCTAGTCCAATGTTTTGATCAAGCTTGAATCTACATTCAAGCTTGATCAAAATATTGGACTCGGCTTGGGCAGTATTCAAACTTTCAAAATAATGTATAGCATGCATAAAGTGATGAAAAGTTGCTTTGTGAACATCATAGAAAGCTTAAAATTAGTTAATATAATTTTAAAAATTTGATATTGGTAAACGGACACATGCCATTTTCTTCATTGACAAAGGAATAGGAGGTTTTGGTGTTATCGCTTCATCTGATTGGTCGACAGCCCTGTTTCTTTGTACGATATAAGGGAATTATTCCAAATTGTATCCAATGAGTAACCTTCTTTCAAGTTTCAAATTTTAAAAGTTTGGTTTTACTCTGAAAATATTTTACTTTGAATATATCCTTAATCTAGAGAGATTAGAGTTCTTCATGTTATAATGTGCTCTAAACTGCTTTAAGGTAATAAAAAGAAGAAGAAGAATAAAAAAACAACAACAAAAACTTCACACACAAATACAAAACAAAATGAAGCAAACAAAAATAAATAATTGTTAAGAAAGCAAAATTAACAAATAAGTAACAAAACAAATTAAAGTTTAAAATAATCCATTTACCTTATGAGAAATTAATACATGTTATGCAAACTGGGAGAAAAACATGAAATTGAATTGATCCACAGATATACTATAGATTCCTTATTTTACGCGAGTATTTAATATCGCAAAATGGCCCTAGTACGTCAAATCGCGAGAATAATAATTTGGGAGTGGACGATTGATCTAGAGGTTTTACATACATTTAATAAAAATAAAAGCGAGGAATATAATTTTGCGAGTGGAGCTTCTCGCGAAATTACACAATAATAATCTACAGTATACGTACAAGGGTCATTCAAAAATTTCGTAGACTTTTGTCATAACTTTTTTTATTTAACGTCATATTATAACCAAATTTGTAATACATATTATTCAAATAATTAAAGTAAAAATATTGGAATATATCTTGTTATTTATCAAAAATGTACTTATAGTTCACAAAAGATCGACTGAACAATTTTCATTGAAGTCATGCATATGTATTCCTTCATGTTCACAAAATGATTTTGAAATCGCGTTTCTCTTTTGATGAAAAAATTTTTATAAATTTACCTTTGCTGTTATTTTCTCTTCAATACTGTTTGCTTCATTTCTGTCCATTTAAACAACATGCTTGTACTTATTCTCAAATTACACATAAAGGTTGAATCTCAGACTGAAAAAATATAAGAAAATAGAAATTTGGTTGAACTTTTTCGGTATGAAAGGTATGGCCATTCCAAGTTTTTTCTATGTTTAGCGTCCGCGTGCGCCTTGGTTTTTGACACCCCATATCAGAAAAAACAAACAAAATCAGGAGTTCTGAAATTGTTTATTCTAGTCGAATTCACTGAATTCTCTCAATTTCTCCAAGTATCTGTCTACAATATGTCATATTTGGAATATTGTAAGCATTTAAGCCCTGATTTTGCTGAAGAATAGATATTTCTACGAGAAAAATAGATTAATAGAATCAAATCCTTTGAATGATGTCATTTTTATGACTATAAAGTCTTGTTTTAATTTTTGGTTTGTGTGTTTTTTGCGAATAGGTAGGTAGGAATTTGAAAGATGGGTGGACGCTAAACATAGAAAAAACTTGAAATGGCCTAAAAAGATTGAGATTGTTATCATGATTTAAGACCCTCGTTCATGAACTCAAAAAATTATTGGAGCCTGAAAGTCTACGAAAAATGTACTGATATAGCTGATCGTAGAGGGATCAAAAAACTATTTGAACTTTTTATGGGAGACAGTCTAAAAGAATACATGCATGCTTCTGCCTTGTGTGTAGTGAATAACATTCTAAAAACTAAGCTGTAAAAAGATTTACCAGAGCAGACGAATTTCTGAAAGAATGTTAATGGTAGATTGAATAGCAAATATGCCAGGCAAATACACCAAACTTCCTGTTATTCTGCAGGCCTTTTGTTGTGTAATCATGTTATTATTGACTTGTGAAATACTCAATTACAAACTGACACAATGCAGTATCTCAATGATTTCATTAAACACATTGTTATACAGATATGACTAGCAAAGGCGGAAACAGAATTTTTCAGGGGGGTCCACATTAACCGTAAAAAATGTCACATTCGAAATTTTTTTGCTGACCACAAAAAAGTTACTATACAACCCAAACATAGAAATTCCATTCCGTGCCGTGGAGGTGGGGTTGAGGTTATAAGGCACTTTCTTGAGCCAATTTTCTTCTGTCGGATGACTCTCCATACCTGTTTTAGAAGGGTCCGTATTTCTTAAGGATGGTCCGAGTAATTTTCTCGTTACTTTTAGATAGAAATTTAATGACAATAAATTGAATAACTCTAAGTGTGTAGATATAGCAAATATTTGACCCATTTTAAAACATTTTTAGAAAAAAATAATTGTTAGAATAAAAACATAAAATCAGGTGTTCAAAACTTGCTCTTTCTTTAGAAGTTCATCTGACTGATTACTTTATATAATCATGGTAGGTGCTCAGATTGATTGACTGATTGAATATACCGGTGAAGGGCTTCAAATTTAGACCTTTACTCAGCACTCAGAGCCATTGAGCAGTGAGAGATCTTTATCGTGCCAACGCCTGGCGTGAATGGGGCCTCGGTTTACATCTATTAGATAAAGAATATTGCTTCCTAAGTCTGAATTATACCTGTGCTTAGTGAAAACTTGACATCAAATTTTCCGTTTTCCGTTCCGCCTGTTAGCAATACCCACTCTGTAGCACGTTACATAAAAAATATTTTTAGAAGTCCAGGAGCAAAGGGAGAAAAAATAAAAACTTGTTTTTGTTTAGCTCCTACCTCTGAGACTCTATCATGTTGGAGATCACGATTTTTCAATGTTTATCTTTACCCTTAAGGTAAGGTTTGCGATTACAGGGAGATAACTCTTATAAGTCACTTAAGCGTTTGAAACCGGCGGAATTTAAACCAGCGATACTAAGCATTCAATCATGTCAATCGCTAATGAATTTCGTCTGTCAAACCATGAACATGATGATGGGAACAAAGAAAGGACATTTCCAGTAGAAAATCGTATAACAATTTAAAGTGTTGGAATCTCGGAAGAATTTATCGAACATATGAAAGACGTTTAGCGTGATGCACGATTGACCCAGTAAAAGAGGACTAGCAAGTTTATTTTCAATACGGAACTGCGCAAGGTTCAAGTCAGCAGGAGCAAAGAATCAGATGTATTGTAAATCATGCACTTCACCACTTCACTTAAACATGTTAAATGACATCATGAACGAATGAAAGAATAGATGCGGGAGAATCCTGGTACTCTCTACATGCTCTATACACTCCGAACAGGGAAGTGAAGTCACGGAGCATTTGACAGTTTGATATAGTTGCATCAGACAGGTAATTATTAAACTGTTAATTCTTAAGTATTTGTAGTTCATAATCGGTATTACAACTTCGAATTACGGAAAGTTGTCAGCTACCTAAACGGATATAAACAGTAATGAATGAACAGATCACGGTGCATGTTAATCCGAGATTCCTCTGACTCTAACCCCTGCTTTTATATGTCTATATTATGCACCTCGGTTGACAATGGTTTTCTTGGGTGAAAATTTTTAATGTTACACTCTACTACATGCAGTATGACATGTGCAGCGAATCTCGGATTAGTTACATGCGACTAAAACCCTGCAATGCAGAAAAAGTTGTCATCCAACTTTTTTTAAATATCTCTCTCCCTCCCTTTCTCATTTTTTAATACAATCAGGAAAGCATTTTCATCATTTTTTTTTATGAAATAGTTTAAATTATTGATTGGCACTTATTCAGATCTAGTGTATTTCTCACTGAAAATTAGTTCTCACTGAAAAAAAAAGGCCTGGAGCCCAAATCCATTTTTAAAAAAATATCAAATTCAATCTTGAATGCAGTAAACAAATAAA